CGAGGCAGTCATGTGTTTGGGTTTACAACCAATGAGAAGGCAGAACAACATACTTTAAAAAAAACGAACCGACAGGAAGTAGGTCTCTTTTTGCGAAGCTGGGACAGCAGGAGGAAGGGTGAGATTTTAGCTCTGAGCTCTGACTTCTCGGCTTTCTCTTTTACATTGTTTCTGTGTTTCTTATTTAATAAGACGGTTGGTTACATCTACAACCCTATTTACTCATATTTCTTCATTTGAATGATTGTATAGGTGAGTCATCTTCCCTTATGTGGTAAGGATTCCTGTACAATATTCTTGATGACAAACTATGTATTAAAAATGATGTAAATTTGATGCATTTAGTGTGTCAGAACTGTGTTCTCACAAAATAATATCTGGAGGAATGGGGAGTTTTCTTTGTCCCGTATGTAACAATAAGAAGACTCATTAAGTACACGAGTTTCTGATCTATTATTAACATAATATTGTTTGTATTTGCACTCTCTTCCAATCAGCATAACATTAGAGTGAAGGCTAGAGTTAACCAAACATTAATCCAGGATCATATTTATTAGGCTGAAGCAAACACGAAAACAGCAGTCTTTATATCAATACTAGTATTCTCCATAGACCTACAGATGCTGGAACCAAAGAGTCTACCAAATCCTATATGCACTGAATTTTTACCTAGACACACATCAAGTTTTAATTTATAACTTATAAATTAAGAGCAGTAAGAGATTAACAACAGCAATTAATAATGAAACAATTATACAATACACTGTTAGAAATGCTATTTGAACATGGTATCTTTCCTGAAATAGTCAAAACAAATACAGGCAGTTTTAGACTGTAGCTACCTTTGGAGAAATACACAGCAGAAGAATTTGTGGATGACTGGGGTGGGTGCCTTGGGGAGGATCAGGGTATCCTCTGAGAGCACACAGTCTCTTCCAGCAGGCTTCCTCCTCTTCCTAGCTTCATAACTACCCTGCTACTTGCTTTCTTCCGCTGTCTACTAAATTCTACAACACAGAGTGCTGTATAATGAAGACGTTTCTTCATGATGCTGTTAAAATATTTAAAAAATATATTAAAACAGGAAATCATTGTTGTAGATTTGCTACTGATGCTTTGCTAAGCCCATTTTAAAAACTGAAGCAGGGAAGTGGTATTTACTCCAAAATCAAAAAAAAAAAATGTAAATTCCAAGATTTCTTCCACTTACAGCAGACTATTCAAACCAATAATAAGCTTAAATACAACAAAGCAAAATTAATATGTAGTAAATGAAGAAACATTACCAGATAAAAGTAATCTTTCTGCAGACTCCTGTTCCAGGCAGTGCTCCTTCACCTTTTCACATCTTTTCTGTTTTGTTGATTTCAATTTCACATTATGGTTCTTTTAACACAGGTTTCATTGACAGACAATTTAAAGATTTTTAAAAGGAAACATACAGCAAAAGCATTATAAAGACATACACACCTCCCTATTTATTGAAATTATACATCCTAGTAAAAATTCCAGAAAGAGCAGATAGGTAGGCAGATAAACTTCCTTAAATCCTAAGACTTGGTACAATCATCCAAAGAGCCTTAGTCCTGTCTCAGTTCTGTTTTTCAAGACAAGAACCAACAACAAAATCATTATATGAAACTAACCACAATGAACACGAAAGGTGGGAAGGGACAGGAAGGGGCTTCTGATCAACACTCACTCTTCCTTTACCTGCAGTGTCCCATGTGTTTCCAGAGGGCACCAAAGGATAGTTGTAACAGTGAGTGTAAATCAAGCCTGGGAACACTGTCTCTGGAAGGTGCCAGTGCTTGTCTGAAGTCGTGAGGAGCTTCAAGTAGCTGAGCAGCCCATAGAGCAGTAAAAAGATGTAAGATATCGACACGCTCAGCTGCATCTTGTTAAAAGCTTCCTGCGGGTTGGCAGAATGAAATCTTTATTTAAAATACACAAACTATTGTCAAGGGAAAGATGGAAGGAGAACACAGTAAAAGGGCCAAATGCTTTGCTTAACCCAATGGAAGCAGCAGTAGAAAGAGGAAAGTGGCCACCCTGTCGGCAGCAGCAACAGAGAAGGTGACTAACATCACATCAGCATCCATCTGCTCTTCCCATGGTTTCAAAATGCATTATTTCTTTTATTATTAATTACGTTTCCAAGGGGAGTATAAAGATATTATGGATAGCAGAGAGGAAATCATTTCTGCTGCCACTTGGCATTGAGTAGAGTAGCATATGAAATGAGCTGGTGATGACAGGAAACGTAGCCGCATCCTTGAGTCCCAGCATCCCTCTTACCAATCAGCTCCAACTCCCTGTTGGTAGTCAGAGGCTGCCTAACAAAGTTCAAGCAAAACCATTATTGAACACTAACAGGAAGGAACCGAGACAAGACTGACTGGGGTGTATTTGTACAGAGAAGGAGCTGGGAGGAGGAAAGGAGAGGGGGAGAGAGAGAGGGTGGCTGAGACAGGGAAAGGAGGAGGGAGAGGGGGGAGGAAAGGGGGAGGAGAGAGGGAGGGAAGGAGAGAGACAAAGAGACAGAGAAACGGAGACAGAAACGGAGAAAAGACACAGAGATAGAATGAGTCACCATCTTGGACAGACAACACATTAAGAAAAGCAAGTGTTCTATATAATTGCATAAAGATATCACGTGCACACTCTTACACAGCGTGTCACTTGTTTTACATATTGGCATTTCCAAAAGAGGTTTTAAAACACAGTGACGGTACCTGTGAAACTTTTTGGATTGGTGAGAGCACAGTGGCTTTAGGGAGGCTGAGCAGGGAGCCTGACAGAGAATGGGTCACTAATGAAGAGCCAAAGAAACTAGACAAGAATTGAATCATGCATGAAAAAAGGGGGGAACACCCTGGGTATATGTCATTTATGTTGATGAAGTGTTATGCTTTTGTGGATGGCAGTGGCTCACAGCTATTTATTTTCTACCACAATGCTCACAACATCTTTAGCCAGAGTATGCGCTCAGTGCTCTGGGTTAGTATTATTATCGATGGGATAATTATTCTGGTTTTTCTTTATTTTAAGCACCAACAGAGTGATGTGCTCTCTGTCTCACAGGAGACAGCGTTTGTTGCCTAGAGTTGTGTTCTGATCAGACATGATGGTAAAGCGAAGAAAGCCTTTATTCTGTTCTGCCCACCCTTTCCTTGTGGATCCAGTACCCATGTCCACCTTTTTGGAGGAGGACGGTTAAGTTCCTCTCCCCAGAGCCCCAAGTCTGAAGTGCATCTCCCCCGAAGAAGCACAGACCATCTGCGTTGGGGTGTCAAGGAGGCGGTGACGGACCCTTTCCTTCCTATACCTGTGGGTGTCGTCTCCATCTCCGGAGTATGGAGGCTGCTTCCCAGCAACTCTTCTACAGGTTTACTTCCGAATAACAGGCACCTTGGCTGAGCCCCTTCTCCCCCTCAAACCCCGCCAAACTGTCCAGCGCCCAAACTGCAAACTACATCCAGTTTCCGAAGCATATCCCTGCCCCAAGAGCCTGTCTTTCTCCACATCATCCGACTGCACTGTGAACGAACGACAGCTCTGTCCCCTACCTTTTTCAGACCCCCATCACTCACCCCTTACCGCCAGCCTCCCTCCAAGGAAACCCAGAGCGGGAGAGGCGCGGACACCTGCAGAAGCGCGCACCTGGCCAGACGCTGCCCGGCGCCCGGTAGCCGGCAGGTGCTCTCCGCGCCCAGCCCGGGGTCGAGGTTGAGCCTGGCCACCCAGGCTCGGGTCTCCCGTCGCCTCAGCATCCTGCCGCCCCCCGCCGGTCCTTCCTGCGGGCCGCGGCCGCGCCGCCGCAGCCATCAAG